TTCCTAATTAAAGTTCCTAAATGAGTCAATAGACAAAAATATCAATAGGAATTATTATATGCACATATTTTGAATATATAGGTGTATTTATTGAATCAATACTAGAACCCCAGTTTATCTAGCAGCTTAAATCATTTGAGAAATCCTCTTACTGCTCTGCACTTCATCAGCCAACTCCTCCTGCTTCATTCTCCTCAGGAAGTTCAGTATGATGTTTACTAATGATTCTCTACTGTCCTTATGGCATTCTTCCTCACCCTTGAATGCCTGGTTATTCTCCGTTTGACTCTGTGAGCATTCTGCGTAATCTGGATTCAGAACCTTCTGTATCTTTTTAAGTTCTTCTTTCACAAAAGTGATCATTTTGTCTTCCAAGACCTGCAATGGAATACTTCATGAATGAGGGTGGGGAGGTGGGCCATAGATACTGAGAGACAACAGAGCAAAATGCAAGTGACAAGAGGTGGAACAGAGACACGAAGTATTTGTATAAATGAGAGTGCAGAGAGAAGCTTAGAAAAGAGAAGCATCATCAGAAGTTTCTCAGCTTAAGCTCACCACTGACCGTAACTAAAAGGACAAATGAAAGTTGGAAGCCTTAAAAGACAGGTGTCTTTCTATTGAAACCAAACTGGTCTCTGATTTAACAGGAGAGGATCTTCAGAATTATTCATCTCATTCTATTGTTAGAAACTTTAGGAACCAAAAGTAAACCTGCAGTTTGCGAGTGAATTGGTTGATATAATAAGGAAATATGAGCTCTTAAATGAAAGATATGATATTCAGCTAATGTCAAGGTTATGTGACATCTCACCTCTGCCACATGTTAATTACACCCTGATGCAACCACTGGGTTGAACATTTTTGCAACCTCTGTTTTACAACCAATTGTTCACAGTAAAGGCTAAATTCATAGAAAGCAATTCAATTATGTGTAATATCCAGAGTCCTAATGAAATCCAAACCTTGACTTCTTTTAAAAACTTGATGAAGACATTTCATGAAACACCAAGAAATATTTTTTTCTATAATTCTTACTAATTAGCTAGAAAGAAGCTAATTTTTAGCTAATAGTTTACTGGGCCCTACAAACAGAGCCAGCATTTGACATGTATTTGCATGAAATATAATTATGTCATGCAGTTTAGAGGAGGCAGAGGTCTGTCAAATACCCCTGCCTCCTCATCCAACAAAAATAGTTGTTGTATATGTACAGACCATAAATATGGAGTCCAGCTGTGTTTGATGCTGCTGGGCAGCCTGACCACTGGGAAGCTCTGAGCTCTCCTGGTCCACTCTGTGGAGGCATCATGAAGATGAAGAATAATAATAAACATAACCAATTAGTCAAGATGCTGGTCCTTGACATAAAAAAAAAATAATAATAATAGTAACAAAAAAGCAATAATTTCTAAAGTGTGTCTATGCTAATGCTAGGTCAGTTCTCACAAGATATCAGAATCTATATTGTTGGAGCAAAGAACTGCTGGGTTTTAAATTGAGAGCCATCTGTACAAATGTCCAGATTATCCATCCATCCATTTTCTTCTGCTTAGGGGTCATGTGGGACTGTAGCCTTTTTCAGCTACCACAGAGGCAGGCTGCACCCTCGACAGGTCGCCAATTTGTTGCTGGGCTAACACCCTTCACAGACAACCATTCACATTCAGACCTATGGGCAATTTAGATTGACCAACTTACCTAACACCACTAACTGCAAGTACCCGGAGAGAACTCACCCAAACATGGGGAGAACATGTAAACTCCACATAGAAAGACCCCGGCTAGGTGGTGGAATAAAACTCAGGACCAACATCCAGAGTAATACAAAAGTAATACAAACTATAAAATTTTCATCTTTGTAGAATTTGTTATAATTATGTGGTGACAGTGTAAAGATACCCTCCATTTTTTTTAAATTTCAGCCGTTTTAACATTGTTCTTTATGTGAGGCTTGGATGGAGGAGGTTTTGCTTTGATGCCATTTGCGAGAGAACTGTAAATCCCGTCTCAATGAGAATGAAACTGGATGATAGAGGACTACAACAACTACATTTTTTCTTCACTAAAGAAACGCCTCCTCCCACATCCACTCTTTAAACTCTAACTGCTGTGCTCGTGGAAACACTCCAACACACACTGCTTCACATATGAAAATAGAAATGTGTGTGAAAAAGAGCTGAGTTGACATTGATCATGGTGGAGGATTTATTCATAAACATTGAGTCACAACAACATTTAGACACACATTACCTCTCTGCAGGAGGACAGAGGCCTGATTTAAATGTTTGAATATAATCCTTTGATTGGTCACTCTTGAAGGACACACAGCTGGTGCCAGGTTCATGGGGATCAGATATCAGATTGATCCTGATAGAAAAAAAGAAAAAAAATACTTTAAGTTTATTTTCTTGATTTAAAAATCCAAATAGTTTAATAAAATCTATAAATAAATGTAAAAAAAAAAAACCCAAACAAATCAAATTATCCAGCCATTCTCTTCCTGTCTTTAGTTTTCCATTTTGTTCATATTTCTAAATGTCAGCATTAAACTGGGCATGAAACATTGCATACATAAAGGCCAATTTAGACCATGGAGCCCTAACACTGTCTGTGAAGCTGGATTTAAGAAATAAGCGTTTCCTCTACAGACATGCTGATAGATATCAGGACTAGTACTTTGGTGAAAAACTGAGTTAGCTTTGTGCGTTTATGTTGTAAACTGCTTGGATGTGCTTTTTAAAAAGATGTTTTGTTGCATAAAATTTGGGATGATCACATGCTATGGACATCTGCTCTGATATCTATCTGCATCACAACTTGAGGAACCATGAAATACTGATCGGAAGTGGGCTACTGGAATAACAAAGGATGAGATTACGGAA